AGTGAATCTAGTCAGCCAGAGTGGGATCGCCTATTCATTGCCTTGCTTTGGCAACTCTTACGGGTGATTTGAGACGGGACACCAACAGACTACCTTTGAAGGAAAGTGTAGTCACAGCAAATACCCCTGATTGTGTTCCTGAGGTGAACTAGGCACAAATTATTCTCTTCAGGACTAGCAAATACAACAATAGCAAAAGCAAATCATAGTTATTTGTTCTTAATATTTCTGTACCATTGCTATGCAAGTATTTTCATGCGCTCTTCCATTTATTTGCAAAGCTGTGTAGCTTGTAATAAAACCAAGCAGACTTTGCAAGTATTTGCAGAGTAATCATAACAATACATGTTTGAGGAAAGAAGTCAAGCCCCTGTTTTTTAAAAAGGCTACTGAAAGTCTGAACTTCTGTAAGTTACGTATGCAGATATTTGGTGTGAGTCTGATCCTATGAAAGGCAGAAGTGGGGGACAGTTTGAGAAAGGAAGTACCTTAATGTGGCCATGTGCTTTTATTATCATAAAGAAACAAATCAATGTGAAATAGTTGATCATGCTCAAAGGTATGTGTAGAAATTTAATTTGTGTATCCTATGAGCAGTTGTTTCCATCTTGTGAAAATTATCATTGGCAGTGTTGGACCAGAACAAACATGTTAGATGCAAACTCAGGTCATAATGTAACACTGCAGTATTTGTAATGACTCCTACTTTTAAAAAAAAAAAACAAAACAGTTCTTTAACGTAGAATAAAGAGTTTTCAACCTTTGCTTTCTTACATCCCGCCAGTCACCCTGTAAGAGAACTTTAGAACCATCGTGGCAGAGGCAGATAATCCGTTTTTTCCTGAGAGAGAGAGACAGACAGACAGACAGACAGACAGACTTCATATATGTATTTTATGTGTAATACAGTATTATATATTACATATATTTTGTTGCCATATTTATCACTCAGACTGCATTGGTGGGCTAAGGAATAGGGGACTGTGAGGAACTCTGTGGCCTCAACTACATTACTATTCCCAACCATAAAATATTATTTTAATAGTATTTTAATTGTTTTATCTTTTATTGTATTTTTATTGTATTTTAATTATTGTAAGCTGCCCAGAGACCTTTGGGTAGAGTGGGTGGCATATAAGTGAAACAAATAAACCAGTGTAGACTAGTTCAGTGGAACATGCGTTATTATCGACTTAGCCCTCAGTGTCAAAAACTAGAACTAGAAAGAAGGTCACAGATGGATAATCTGTGACAGATAGTAGGAGATGGCATGTCCTACTTTTAGGAGGCCATGGAATTGAGAGAGATACAATCTTCTTGCTAATTATTATGAAGGTCCTCTGTCTCTTCTAGCTCACTGTGTCGCACCAGTGTTATGTTTACCACAAAACTATGTAGCAACTGCTTTGAATAGATATTTCCCACAATTTGACTCTGTTTTCCTAACAGCTACCAAGAAAAGCCTCAAACATGAAATTGAAACAATTTTACGGGAGCGCATTATGATTTTGGATGGAGGCATGGGGACCATGATCCAGCAGCATATGTTGTCAGAAGAAGAATTTCGAGGGCAAGAATTTAAAGATCATCTGAAACCATTAAAGGGAAATAATGACCTATTGAGCATAACACAGACTGACATAATCTACAAAATTCACAAGGTCAGTATGCGATTTTACAGGGAATATTTATATTTGTTTAAAATGGGTAGCAGATTCATATGTAGACATTTCTAGTAAGTTATATAAATATAACAATAATAATAATTGCAAGATCAATATATAATTATTTAATTGAAAACTCTATACTCAACTGAACAGAAAGAGAACTTTAAAAAGTCACGAGGCAGGAAAGATTATTGATAAAATGACACTAAATAATGCAAGAAAAAAAAAGAAAAACAAAACTTAGCATGGCTTGGATAGGCTATAAAATGCATTTGACTCATTGCCACCCAGCTGAATTAACACCTGCCTAAAAAAAATTGGGATTAGTAAAAATATTCAGAAGTTACTCAAGAAAAACATTGAAAATTGTCCTAATGGTCTAGGGTGAAGAAATCTGGGAAATTTGGGCTGAGGCTGAATCAGGACAAGACGGAAGTTCTGAGGGGAGTGCCCTCGTGGTCGGCGGCATTCCCGTGGTCGGCGGCTTGGGGGACTCCCTTGTTTGGAGGGGTGACCTTGGCCACCAAGAGTGGAGTTCGCAGCTTGGGGATCCATCTGGACCCAGCGCTCACCATGGAAACACAGGTGGCGTCGGTAGTCCGGACCGCCTTCTTCCATCTCTGGCGGATTGCCCGGCTGCGGCCCTACCTCGATACGGGGGCGCTCACTACCTTGGTGCATGCGCTCGTAATCTCAAGATTAGACCACTGTAACGCGCTCTACGTGGGGCTGCCTTTGAGGCTGATGCAGAAGCTTCAGGTGGTGCAGAATGCGGCGGCCAGACTCCTTACTGGAGTGAGAAAATACCAACATATTTCTCCTACTCTGGCCGCACTGCATTGGCTGCCCATCCGGTTCCTGCACCACACTTATAAAGACCTAAATGGTTTAGGACCTCGATATTTGGCAGAATGCCTACTTCCACCAAGTTCTACCCGGATCACCCACGCGAGTCGGGAGGTGAGGCTGAGGAGCCTGACGCCGAGAGAGGCCCAGAAGGAAAAGACACGAAATCAGGCCTTCTCAGCAGTGGCTCCTCGCCTCTGGAATAACCTCCCTCCGGAGATCCGCGTGGCCCCTACGCTGGGTACCTTTAAAAGCCAATTAAAAACATGGTTGTACATTCAAGCCTTCCCTCCTGTCAGTACCTGATTTTATTTTCTCACTCTCTTTATTTATTTCCTCTTCTATTTGTATTGTAATTTCCTATTGGATGTTTTTATGTAGTATTCTTGGTTTTAATGCTTACGCTATGTTTTAAGCCGCCTAGAGTGGTCATATAGACCAGATGGACGGGGTATCAAATAAATAAATAAATAAATAAATAAATAAATTAGTCCTTAAATTAATTTTACGGATGAGGAAAACAGCCGGTCACCACTGCTTTTCAACATCTCGCTAATCCCCAGTCAATAATTTTAAATAAAACTGGATTGGACTACCATATTTCAGAATAAGCAGGAAAAATCAATCATCTGTTATACATGTGTGATCTAAAACTATATGCAGAAAGTTCCACAGAGATAGAATCTGTGCTAAACATAGTGCAAATATTTAGTGAAGATATTAAAATGAAATTTGGAATTGACTAATGAGCAGCTCTGTCTATACACTGTGGCAAGGTCCAAAAACTAGATGGAATTGAGTTAAAAATGCCAATATTATGAAATCACTATCAAGTGATGAAAATTATAAATACCTTGGAATACTAGAAGCGGATAACATTCTGCACACAAAAATTAAAGAAAGAGAATATATCAAGAGGCTGTGGAAAATCTTAAAATAAAAATTAAATGGTAGAAATAAAATCAAAACCATAAACACATGGGCAGTTCCAGTAATTAGATATCCAGCTGGAATAATGGGACCCAAAATATATTAGAAGAATTGGTTCAAAAAACATGGAAACTAATGAACAAGCATCACACACTACATCCAAAAAGTGATGTGGATAGGTTATATTATCATATAAATTGGAGGTCATGGATTACTGCAAATACAGCAGGTGGTAGAAGAGGAAAAAAGAAGCCTAAATGATTTTAATTATTATTTATTTATTTTTCTATTTACCGTATTTTTCGCACCATAAGATGCACTTTTTCCCCACAAAACGGGGGTGGAAAGTCTGTGCGTCTTATGGAGCGAAGAAAACAGATTATATTTTCCTGTTTTCTTCTCCTAAAAAATTGGTGCGTCTTATGGAAAGGTGCGTCTTATGAAGCGAAAAATACGGTCCTGCCTATCTGATCATTATATCAGTACAAGTAGAGAAAAATTACTTAAGACAGTCAAAATGGAGAATATTTTGAAAATAACAGGAACAAAGGCTCAGCAACAATTTGAAAATAAATTAAACAGTTGGAAAAATGAACTCAGAAATATTGATGGAAAGGATGATCATAATCCAACATAGGAATGGCTAAAATTGGGGACCCGAAGGCTTGATTTTTTTTTGCCCAAGAACAAGCAGTCCAAACCAATGTGATGAAAGCTAAGATCCAAGGATTGATTGATATGCCGCCCACACTACCCAAAGGTCTCTGGGCGGCTTACAACATTTAAAACACAATAAAAATTCAGAACAATTAAAATGCAATTAAAATACAATTAAAATTGCCATCATCAGGACCCACAGTTGATGTTATTTCAATTAAAAGCCTTCTGGAACAGGAAGGTTTTGACCTGGCGCCGAAATGTCATCAACGTCGGCGCCAGACAAATCTCAGTCGGGAGGGCATTCCATAGTCTGGGGGCAGTTGCCGAAAAGGCCCTTTGTCTACAAGCCGTCCCTCTTACCTCCTTGAGGGGCAGATCTTTCAAAAGGGCCCCCTGGCTAGATCTTAACTGCTGGGTAGGCTCATATGGAAGGAGGCGGTCCTTCAGGTATCCAGGGCCCAAGCCGTTTAGGGCTTTATATGTCAAAACAAGCACTTTGAATTGGGCCCGGGCAGCAACTGGTAGCCAATGTAGCTTAAACAGAATTGGCTTGATATGTTCCCTAGCGGCCTCACCACTCACCAGCCGCGCAGCTCAGTTCTGGACCAGTTGCAGTCGCCGGACCGTCTTCAAAGGCAGCCCCACGTAGAGCACATTGCAGTAATCGATGCGGGATGTTGCCAGTGTGTGCGTAACTGTCATGAGACTCTGCTCGTCCAGGTAGGGCCGTAGCTGGTATAGTTTCCGCAGCTGGAGGAAGGCGCCCCTGGCCACCGAGTCCACCTGGGCTTCCAGAGTTAGACTGGGGTCCAGGAGCACCCCCAAGCTGCGGACCCTGTCCCTTAGGGGGAGTGTAACCCCATTCAGGGCAGGGAGATGGCCCTCCAGCCTGTCTGGCGAAGCACCCACTAACAGCACTTCCGTCTTGTCTGGATTGAGTTTCAATTTATTAACCCTCATCCAGTCCATTATCAGGTCCAGACACGAGTTCAGCACAGAAACCGCCTCACCTGGATTGGTGGAAAACGAGAGGTAGAGCTAGCAGTTTCGCGTAGATGTTGAACAGCACGGGGGGCAGTATTGAGCCCTGAGGAACCCCATGACATAAACGCCCTGGGGCGGAGCAACTGTCCACCAGCACCACCCTCTGGACACGGTCAGCCAGGAAGGAGCGGACCCACCATAAAACAGTGCCCCCAACCCCCAACCCAGCCAGCTTATCCAGAAGGACACCATGGTCGATGGTGTCGAAAGCCACTGAGAGGTCTAGGAGTATCAACAGGGTCACACTCCCCCTGTCCCTCTCCCAGCAAAGGTCATTGTACAGGGCAACCAAAGCAGTCTCTGTGCCAAAACCCAGCCTGAAACCTGATTGAAATGGATGCAGAAAATCCGTTTCATCCAGCAGCGCCTGGAGTTGCCCAGCCACAACCCGCTCTAACACTTTGCCCAAATAAGGGAGATTCGCTACTGGTCGGTAGTTAACCACCAGGCTTGGGTCCAGATTAGCCTTTTTAAGGTGTGGTAGGGACCACTCTCTCAAAGAGCTGTTCACGGCCTCCTGGACCCAAGTGCAACCCCCCCGGCTGATCTTCCAATTAGCCAGGATGGACAAGGGTCGAGCGAAGTGGTGGTAGAATGGACAGATCCAAGCAGTCAAGGGAGTCTCGGCATGAATGTTGAGGTCCCACAGCACCAACAGCCTGGGAGTCCTCAACACCAGGTCCAAGACTACCTCCGTCAGCTCAGGCAGGGAAACTGCTGGTATGCAGCAGGGTGCGTGGTACACCAACAGAATCCCTAATCTGTCTCGCAAGCCCAACACACAATACAGGCTGTCAAGACCTCCTCTCAGAGGGATAGGAAGCCTGGTGAAGGAGCTAGAACTCCTATAGACTATAGCAACTCCCCTTCCCTGCCTCTCCGGGCGACATTGGTGCTGGACCGAGTACCCAGGCGGAAACAGCTGGGAGAGGGGAACACCACCCTCCTCTCCCACCCAGGTCTCAGTAATGCATGCCAGGTCAGCACCCTCATCCAGAATTACATCATGGATGAGGGCAGTTTTATTTTGTACTGACCTGGCATTCATCAGCAGCACCGTGTGGCTCGAAGGTTCATTGATATGGTCCCCTGATACCATCTGGTTGGGGGTAGGACTAGGATAGATGTAAGATATGTAACCTCTCTTCTCCTACGTGGGCATGTTCGACCCCCACTGCCATTCCTTCCCCTACCCAGCACCACATTAATGGTTGCCCCCTCCAATACCCTCCCCCCCTTCCTGTTCCCTCAGATCTACTGTGGCAATTGATAATCACAATAAAAATCCCTTCTAAAGCCCCTTCTCCCCTCCAAGCCAGGTGGCTAATATTGAGGAGTGGGTGGAGCAGCCAGAGGCAGGGCCCAGTTCCGCAAGGCTGAGGGAGTCCAAGCCAAACTCCCCCAGAAAGGCTGGCAACCAGCCGCAGGACAGCCACACTGTCTCTCACTTAGTGCCTAAGGGATGGCAGATGATGGACTCCCCCCAAGGGCAGGAATGCTGGTCTAGTTTACCG